GAGAGGGAGAGATACTCTCTGCCTGTAAATTTTCTTGGATGATGAAAAGCTCACCTCTTATTTCAAAGATACAAGAGAAACAAGGCTGCCTTGTTGATAAAATAACAGGCAGTCCTGCTCTTGCTCCTTTGCATTTCAAAACCCTTGTCCTTCTGAAGTTCAGAGTGCTAACCACATGGCCAATTCACCTCAGGATACTGCCAACAAACTGTGGACTTGCTCAGGCTGCTTTCCATGTCAGCAAGCTGGAGGAAACCAAAGAACAGGAGAGGAAAGACAGTGATTATGTTTGCCACTCGTTTAATAACATTTCAAGGGGTGATGTGGACAAGAGTGGGGAGCATGTTGTAAGATAATATGAACTGGGTCTTATCATTCCTCAGAACTTACCCAACCTCTTCAGCCAGGGTTGATTGAGTCAATTTAAAGAAACTGATGATCACATCTCTTTCACTCAGAATAGAATGATACAACTTAGATCCAACTAGGAAGATACAACCAGGAACTTAGATACAACCAGGAAGAATTAAAGACCAAAGCTTCAATAAGCAGGTATTTTCAAAATCTTTGTCCCTAAGATCATATTTGACATGTCTTCTAATAATATCCTGAAAAGAACATAAAAAGAAAGGGCAGATGTCTGAGGAGGAAGTAACTTCATTGAAACCTGGGATCTGGGTGCAAGGCCACCGTAGCTGGGTGCCCCTTTACCAGCTATCTTCCTTCCTTCCTCGAGAATATTCAAAACAGGAATCAAATCCAAGGGCAGAATGTTCTGAGTTTTGTTCAGAATGAGGAGTCCAGCTTCTGTGTCGCTTTCTGGGAAGGTGTTTTCAGGAAAACTTATTCTCTTAGCATATTCACTTCTAAGAGCGTAAGATTTGACCCTGATTTATACTGATCATGAAACCAGAACTACCTCAGAATCATGACACAGAAAAATCATAAGTTCCTTGGGGTAAATTTGAGAAACAGGCAGTTCCTAACCAGTTGTAGAATCAAAGTTCATCTCCAAGACACTCTTGGGAACTCAGAATATATTTACCCATAGAGCTATGCCAGACCACCCAACCACGGCCAGTGGCACTCATCGCCTAGCCAAAACAGTGTGATACCAACAACATTCTAGAACCTCATTATCATCACTTCTGAGAAAACACATCACAAGTTCCAAACAGCATTATCAGAACCACATCCCTCTCACTCTCCTCAGTCCGTGGCAAGATCTTTCCCCGTCTTGCAATTCCCATCATTCTGAGCCAACAGGAGGATTCCTCCCAGCAGCGGCCGGTGACAAGCCAGACCCAATACAGCTTGGTGTGGGGATCGAGGGCAAGGGCGGGGAGACTTAGCTTCCACAAGGCACACGGCATATACAGGGTGGGGGTTGGCTGAGGAGAAGCATCTAGCAGAAGAACAGGAGTACACGAGAATCTCCAGATGTGAAAATTATAGAGCTAAGCTCCAGTGAGGGCTTCAAGTAGAATTCTACAGGAACAGCCCCTACTGGGTCTGGTGGAGGCATGAGGAGGGCTCAGGCAGAGAGTGGTGGAAAGGACCAGATGAGGAAGGGCAGCAGTGCCAGCTAGTGGAACAGAGGATTAAGGGCAGTTACTTTCTTGGGTAATGGTTTCAGCAGGGGCTCCTTTGGAAGCCAAGAACAGTAGCATTTGAGATTTTCTGCTGTCTTCACTGGTGGAGACCTCTTGATATGAAGCTTGCTTATCTGTGGTTCAGATCCACAACACACTGGGCCCAGGTATCCCCTCAGCCCCTGCTCTGACAACCATGTCCTTGTCCTTCACCTTGACTAGGACCTCCCGTCTCAACACAGTCTTAGTGTTTATCCTTTGGCTCAAGCACCAGAGGGGCAGGTCAGTGATGCTTCTGATTTCAGAGCTGACTAGACCTTGGCCAATTTATAAGAACATATTCTAGAACCAAATCATTTGCCACCATATCCGTGGCCAGGAGAAGGCAAAGATTTCTGGGTTTTTCTCTCAAATACTGAAGACCCACTATGTGCTGGACTTACTTTGGTCTTGAGGAAACAAGAATCAATAGTAATGGTGGTAGGGTGGAACCTTTGGTGACAACACACCTGTAATACGATGTGGTAACTACCGTAGAAGCCGTTGGAATCAAATACTATTGGATCAATAGAAGGGAGTTATTCTTCACAATAAGGTGTTAAAGAGACTGAAGGCAGTAGTGAGCTAGATTTGAAGCCTGTCAGGCCGCCATACTGAGTACAAATAGAACCACATCTGGAGGCACAAAGGGAGTGTGTCTGGGTGTAGCTGCCAAGATCAAAGTGATCACAGTTCCTCTTCCAAACTGGATTCTTTGACAACGAATTTAAACAGTTTTACCTAGATGCCAGTTCATGCTGTCCCAGAGCCACGCGATCTTTCCTTCTCACCTTCATCCCACAGATGATCTTGTTTAGGGGTCTCCATGTAACAGGCAACCTGTTTTGAGAGTGAAGGACAAGAGCCAAGGTCTGTTGGACTGAACCCTGACGACTCTATCGCCTGACTTTCAACCTCTTTGTGGCTTAACTTCCTCATCTTTAAAACGGGGATTCACCAACCCTGCAGATTTGCTATAAGGGCTAAACGATAAAATGCATGGAAACTGTGGTACACTGCCTGGCAGAAAGTGGGCACTGCATACATGGAAATGGCTCGTTCTATTTGCCTCTTCTCCCTGGAGGCTGTCCTGGGGAAAGAAAGGAGAAGGTTGCTTCCCCTGTGATTCTTAGAAGTTCTGTACCTCACAGCCTATGTTCCCGTGCTGGCAGCTTCCCCCTCTTCGGGCCCCAGAGAAACGTGCTTACGAAATTACCGATCAGGACTTGGGCCACATCGTCCAGAGCCTGATACCAGGAGGCACCACCAGATGGTTTCTCCCTTCACCCGAGAGACTCCAGGATTTCTACCATGTAAATACGCCTCACTGCCACATGCTGCCACCCTCGGGGAAGTGCTCCCTGTGGGGGCCGTGCCCTCTGGCCAGAGCCTGGGGAACAATTTCCCTTCTGTTTCCCAAGGGCTGATCTGGTGCCATCCTGCAGCACGTAAGGAATGTAGCCAGGGCAGGGCCGGCAGTCGTGTACAGGGCCCCACTGTCTCTCGGTCACATGCTGCCTCTGATGTCCCTTCCGGGAGCCTTTCCTCTGCCATGTCTAAATTCACACAGCTGTGGGATGAAGCTGTTGGGATGGAACAGGATGTACAGATACCAGTTTGTGGAGCGTTTACCCCTCCCTGTATTATTCTCTTTCCTCTCCCCACTTTCAACCAGGTAATAGGCTCCGATTGTTGTCTAGGGGTAGCAGGTGGTGGCTCTGAGTGTTTTGAGGGACGGAGGAGTGGGGGAGGGGTGCAGCAGCCTGCCAAGTCTCTGGCTTTCACTTTCTGAACATCGAAACTTTAAGAAAAATGGACAGCATTTGAAACAAATGAAAGGTTATAAAGAGAGTGTCTTGAGGAAATAAGGGCTGCACAGACTTCCCTCTCGCTTTCTGACTTTCCTTCCAAACTGGAAACAGAGACCCCAGATGGGAGAAGAGGAGCATGAGCAAACCCTTCGGGGCCTGTATTCATCTTCTATTGCTGCAGAATACATTACCACAAACCTAGCAGCTTAAAACCCTATTCATTATTAGCTCACAGTTCCACGGGGGCCGTGCCTTCCATGGTCCTACGGCTCACGGTTCTGTAGGTCCAGTACAGTGTGTGCTAGAATATCACAGGCTGAAACTGAGGTGTCAGCGAGGCCGAGACTTGTCAGGAGACTCTGGGAGAAATCACTTCCAGGTTGGCAGAACCCAGTGTCTTGTGGTCTTAGGGCTGAGGCCCATGTTTCCCACTGGCTGTCAGTCAGGGCCGCTCTCCATTTTACCTTCAAGCCTGTGATGGTGTGTTGAATCCTTCTCATGCTTTGAATCTTTGATTTCCTCTCCTGCAACCAGCAGGAAAAAACACTCTGCTCTTAAAGGGCTTACATTATTAGGTCAGGCCCACCTGAATATTCTCTCTAATTTAAGGCCAACTGATTTGGGACTTGAGTTACACCTGAAAAATCCATTCACACCAGTCCCTAGATTATTGTTTTCTGAATAAGAAGAGGTATGTGTATTCCTAGGACCAGGAATCTTGGAGGCCATCATAGAATTCTGCCTACTGCAGTCCCAGAGCAAAGAACTGGACCCTGATGCTTGGCAGCACCGTTAAGGCTATGAAGGGACTGGCTGGGTGATGTGGCCAAGAACACAGGATCATAGGAAGCCCTGCAAAGGTTCTCACGTGTTCTAGGCTTGGTTGTGAAACTAGTATGACAATATCCTCTCCCCAGTCCTGAAGCTACCATGTGGAACTAGACAGTGGACACCTGAGAAGTGACCAGTAGTAATCATACTCTTGAAACTAGGTACTGTGTCAAAGCTTAGACATGCAGTCAGAAATTAAATCGAGTTATGTACGGTAATGACAGTGATATTTCTTGCACATCCATAAGATAGCAGTTGGAGACCTGATATATTTTTTCATTATTTAATGAATGAATGAACAAAGGAATAAAGGTAGTAATTAATAGTTTGCAGACGTTCACAAGAGCCACCGGCTCCTTGAATCAATCTCTTTCAGTAAAAAAAAAAAAAAAAAATGCATTAGGGCAGCTCTTCTTAAAATTGTGTTTGGAGAAAGGCTATTAACTATTATATAAAAAATAATTCTTGGGGTGCCTGGGTGGCTCATTGGTTAAGCATTTGCCTCTTGCTTTTGGATGAGGTCAGGATCTCATGGCTCATGAGATCAAGTCCTTTATCCATCTCTGTGCTGACATTGCAGAGCCTGCTTGGGATTTTTTTCTCTCTCCTCCTCTTCCTCCCCCTCCTCTGCTCACACATGTGCGCATGCTCTCTCTCTCTCTCAAAATCAATAAATAAACATTAAAAAATAATATTCTTTAATCAAGATAATTGGGAAAATGCTAGATCACAGTAGTAAACCGGTTTATTTCCTGAAGGATTTTTTTTTAACATCCTTTAAAATGCCAATGTGCATTATTTTGAGTGGGATAGCATATGCATCATTTCCAGAATTTCTTCAATAAACCTTTTGATGCTGGGAATGCATCAGGAGGGATGGGTTGGAATGCTGCAGTAACAAAATTCAGTGGTTTGCAACAGCGTGCTTTATTTCTTACTCACTTTACATGACAGCTGCTTGGTGGCTGTAGCTCTTTTCAACATCTTTACTCTTGGATCAAGGCTAAAAGAGCAACTCCCACTCGGGCTATTGTAGGTCTCATGGAGGAGATAAAAGGAAAACTGCAGAACCTCATGAAGGTCTTGGGCTTTTTCTGTGAGTGGCACACGGCACTCCTGTGCCATTTCATTGGCTGAAGCAAGTCACGTGATATCAGTAGGAAGAAGATATATAATCCCCCTACAGGGAACATGTGGTAATACTGGTTCTGTGTGGAATATGGTTTGAAAACTCCACATTAGGAACACAGGACTTGAAAATCACTCTGGGTTTCGGGGAGCCTGTATTACATATGACAGAGGAAGAATCAGAACCACGGGGCAGGGCAAAAATTCACGTATAAATCTTGGATTGTATTCTAAATCTGTTTATGCTTTTCTTTCAATTTAAGAAAAACTAGAAACAAGAGAAAATGGTATAATTATCCAAAATTTCACTCCTTCAGTTTAATTGGACTCTCACCTGTCACTGCCCTACCATCCACTAAAGCCCCTTCATTAAAGGAACTTTTAATATACACGCACACAACGTAGGCACTTACGTGTCTAAGTTAAAACTCACATATGTATATATGTAACTCATATATATTCCTGATTGGCTAGTTATGTATCAATTGTATAAAATCTCTGTAGTTTTAAATTCAAATAGTTATACACTGACAGCTAAAGAGTCCATGATCGAAATCTAACAAAATACCTTTATGGTGGTTTTAACTGATGCCCTTTCCAAAAGCCTGGAACTGACCCAGTGACTGCGTTTTGTGATATGTGTGGGTTTACTCTCTCCTGGGCCATAAGTTTTGAACAACTTAACTAGTAACACTTGCATTTTCATCTCTGCCCCAAATGTCTTTGATTCATAGACAGTGAGACTGACCTGGATTTGACTTTGCCTGAATGAAACTCGTCCTTGTTCTCAGCCATGTGTCATCAGAAGTAGAAATCTGGAGGTGGATGTGATCGATGTGCTGGCTCTTCGGAAATAATGCAGCTAGAGAGGCTACATACAAAAGATGTTGTATTTCAAGTCCCTTAAGTGGCTTTATGCAAAACAAGTCATGTTACACTGCCTAAAAGAAGACAAACCCAGAAGCAGAGTGTTCACAAAACAATAAGCCATGCTCTTTCCTCCTCTACATGGTCTTTATAATAGTCGAATTAGCTTACATTATTTTGTTAGCTAAAACCTATAATAAAGATGTAGTAAGAACCTCTCACTAACTTATAACTAGAAATCATAGCTAATCACCTTGAAACATCAGTGTTTCAAATTGATCTTATTATAAAACTGACCAGAAAAATGGAATATGATACTTTCTTCTTCATCTAGGCTATTAAGAATATGCATTTTAGTTATAGCTTTGGATAAGTGTTATAAATTTCATTTCAAACTTTTCAAAACACCAGAGAACTAGAGGAAATTTAAAGAAAAAAGAAAAGACCAGGGCTGTGTCAACAAAGACCACAAATACGAGCTAATGTGACTATAGCAAATAGGTACTCCATGTTGGAGAGGAAATAGTATATATGTCATTGGCTTGTAAATATTTTGAATGGGAAGTTTTAAATTTCCTTTTTATAAAACCAGCTTTAAGAGAATCTGAATATAGTTGCCTAAACCTTAAACTGATAGTAAAAGAAATGCCTACCTCCATCATCACCTCTAACCCCATTTATGCACAACAAATTTACAAAACAGTTATAAAGCATCCCTTTAACTTAACAGATAAAAAATTCACTATGAAGAGTTTTTGCAACTTCCAGACTATAAAAGGTCATTTTCCAAGAGCCTAAAAAAAATTTCTGCCTGCTGAGAAGTAATGACCACATGTTTGGCCACACTCTTTCCCTGTGTCCTGACAGATGATGCTCTGAGGCTCACTTATACTCAGCTCAGAAAATCGAACAGGGGCTTCTCCATCTTCTGATCACAAATCCACACATCTGCTTTTATCTGTGCTTATGTACGGTGCTCTCCCCTTTGACAAGAAAAGGAATGTTGCTGCCCCTGTGAAGCATCTCCCCTCACTCTCTGGCACCCAGCGCCTTCACCTGTACAAGGAATTGCTTTTGCCATTTTTCCTCTTTCCTGCAGCCTCTATGTATTCTTCTCTGAATGGTTCCATCCAAACATGGACAAGCTCGTGGTTTTCAAGCTCAAAACAATGAATGGCAGTAGCAACTAAGACAAACTCTCTTAATCCCACAGCACCCCCTGTTTCTGACTCCCTGTTCTCCTCTTCACAGCAAAACTTGAAACATGAATCCGTTCACCATCTTCACACCCTCACTCCCTTTTCCTCTGGTCTATTCTGTCTTTCTCCCTCCCCTCCACTGGCTGATCTTGCTAGGGCCACTGACAAGCTGTGTGGTGCCATTTCCAAGGGTCACATATCTGTCCTCATGTTACCTGGACTCCCAGGAACTCTCAAAGGGGTAACCACTCCCTCATCTGTCAAGCACTTTTCTTTCTTTTTCTTTTGTCAGTGACCCCACACTTTAGTCATTCTCTTTCTACCTTCTGTCAGTTTCTCCTCTCTCTTTTATGTTCCTCTTCTTGGCCCAATATCTAAGGTTTGAATGCCCCAGGATTCAGTCTTTCCTCTCTACATTTTCTACCTGGGCTTACATACTAGTTATCTGCTAATGACTCAGGAGTCACCAGTTAGGACTCAAACTGCAAATAACCAAAAATCAAACTGTCTTAAGTAATAAAGGGGGGAGGGGCTCATTGGCTGACATGACTGAAAAGTCCAGAGGCAAGGTAAGCTTCATGGTTCAATGATGTCATCAGCGAACCAGTTTCTTTCTAATTCTCTGTCCTGCCTTCCATGTTATTAGCTTTATCCTCAAGCCAGTGTGTCCCTTATGTTGACAAAATAGCTATGGCAGTTCCAGACTTTACATCCACAAATCATGCTATCCAAAATGAGAAACATGATTGTTTCATAGTAGGTTTCTCAGTGCTCTCAGAAAGAGAAGAAACATTATTTCTTAAAAGATCCCCCAAAATGTGGGGTGCCTGGGTGGCTCTGTCGTTTAAGCATCTGACTCTTGATTTTGACTCAGGTCATGATCTCACAGTCATGGGATCAAGCCCCACTCTCCTTCTACCTTTCCCTCCCTGCTTCCATTCATGCTCATGCTCGCTTGCTCTCTCTCTCTCTCTCTCTCTCTCAAAAAAAAAAAAAAAGAAAAAAAGATTCTCCCAAAATGAAACCCTGCATTTGCCCAAATTTTTCACAGACCTACTTCAGATCTGATTCTTTTCCATAGGGTAATGCCATGTACAGGATGGCTTAAATCCAAATTTCCTGAATCAGTTACAATGTGAGAGAGGTATGCAAAAGGCCTCTATAAGCTAATTAATCCATTTCTTCTCCATCTATATTGAACTTAGGCCAATTACATTAAGATACATGTCCCTTATTCTTAATTCTTTGTATAGCCTTGCAAATTTCCTGTACAAAATTTTCATATTCTACATATTTGAAACCTCTATCCTGAAGGGGCTGCTGATTCTCTATTCTTGTGCCTTGATTTTTATAACAATGTATCAATTGGAGAGGCTTGGAAATAAATAGGATTTAATTCTATTTGGTTATGTTTTGTTTGAGATGTGAGAGTAAGATTGGACCAAATGGCCTTTGGATATAGGTCTGGAGCTTAATTTTACCAGTTTTTGTTGCTATCTATAGTAAGTGATATGAATGACTGGATTTAGGAAGGTTTGTGCTTCTATCATGTAAACCTTTCTCTGTTTCTTTGCACCCTAGAAAGAATTTTTGGCTGAGTAAGTTTTATAACTAAAATTAGAATCTTTTTGTGTATAAGCATTAATAGTGACTCCAAGAAATAATTGCCTATAAGGAGATGAATAGATTTTTTAAATATAATTTTTCTCAAAAAGTATACATCAGAAATTATAGTTCTTAAATTTAGACTTAACTAAATACAGAACAAGTGTCTTCAAATTATCTTGAACTCAGAAAGAATGGAAGTATGAATGTATTAATGGAGTGAATAAAGAACAAGAGTTGAGGGGCGCCTGGGTGGCTCAGTCGATTAAGCGTCCGACTTCGGCTCAGGTCATGATCTCGCAATCGGAGAGTTCGAGCCCCGCGTCGGGCTCTGTGCTGACAGCTCAGAGCCTGGAGCCTGTTTCAGATTCTGTGTCTCCCTCTCTCTCTCTGACCCTCCCCCGTTCATGCTCTGTCTCTCCCTGTCTCAAAAATAAACGTTAAAAAAAAACTTAAAAAAAAAAAAAAAGAACAAAAAAGAACAAGAGTTGAATCCTGGGCATTTACATGGAAACTAGGTTAATTTTGTAAAGCTGCATTATGTTTTAATACTTCACATATTTGCCTTTTAAGAAATATGTACATAAATTCAGAAATCCCTTGAGACATCTTGGACTGTTCAGAAACGGAGTAATTTACAGTCATATTACTTAAAACTTCTTGATTGCTAATCTACTTGGTGAAAAGTTAATCACATGACTGACTAGAAATCATTGTGGCCTACTGTATTTGAGGTAGGTTCACCTTAGAAAACAATCTTTATATTAGTTAGAATTGAAATTACAACTAAACAGATGAAATGTGTTTTGAGTTCTTATCCAGAGAGTTTATAGATACTTTGAAGTAAACAAAATCTTAACAAAATTTTATAGTCAAGAAAGGAATAAGAAAAAAATGTGGCTCTGACCCTTTGTGTTGTCTCTATGCTGAATTCTGAGTTGGGAGATTTATTCAGTCTTTCTTGTCTTTCTGGCAGAACTATCCCCAGATGGATATCCTCCTCTGGCAAATAGAGGTACCATAGGATTTGCACATTGAGGGTCTCCTTATTGATGGCTAAAGAGGGATTCATGGGAAGAATTTGGGCTGAGGGGAAATGGGAGTGGAGAGAGGAAAAGAGAGAAGGAGAGAAGCTCATAAAATGTAGACATAAACCACACTAGATGGGAAAAAATTATACCCTGTCCAAAGTTACATGATATCATTTTGTCTTCTTTTTCCCTGCCAAGGAGAGATCTCACGTACATAATATAGGCCACTGGTGACTGTACAAGGGTGTGGAATTGGAAAAGAAGAGGGTACCAGATATTGTGATGTGCCGGGAGCCCCAAGGCCTCATAATCCACACTTTGATGTTAGTTTCCTATTTTTGTTTTAAAAGGAGCAAAGAACTGTGATTATTCCATTAAAACATGAGTGGAGTTCATCTTTTATTTTGTGTGGAGATACAGAGAAAGGAATGTCTTTGGGTTATTTTGGAAGTAGATTGACAGTTGGGGTAACAGCAAAAAAACAAAAACAAAAAAACACAAGAAATTCTCTGAAGTTTTTTCTTTTGAGTAACTGAATGGATGTTGGATGCCACTGACTTAGAAAAACGGTTAATAAATAGGATTGGGGATGAGGATTGAAAATGAAGAGTTCTAATTTGGCCATGTTGACTTTGCAGTGTCTTCAGTAGTCCAAGTGAATTGCAGACATCACAAGTTCCATTGCTGCACTTAGAATGACCTATTCCTCTTTCACTGGGATGACACCCCCATCCACCCTGTCTCCCTCCTGAGGGTAAAGCCTGAATGTCATCAGAGACCAGGCCTTCCCTTCCCCTGCCAGCCATCACTAAGCTCTGCATTTCACCACCTTATTATATCTGAACTTCATGTCCAGCCCCACCTCTATGATCCAGTTCCCACTACTCTGTGCCTCTTCCAGTCATTAGGACCAAAAGAGCATTGTGTATAACTGTAGCTGGGTGGTACCCATCATCACTTAAGACACAACTCAACAGATGATACAGATTTGGTGATCTGGAGTATTGTGCACTTTGTAAGTTTCTTTTAAGTCTTTCCTTTTTGTATCTTCCTCAGGCACCCTAGTGCCAGCACTGCTCTCTGTATATTACAGTAATAATTAGGTGTTATCTGCCTTGCTGACATTTAGTTTCCTTGACCAGGAAAATGGGAAATGACAATAGGTAATGTTATCAGGGTGCCTGCCACATTCTGGTTGACCAGAGCTCCAGTTAAGGCATCCAGACTGGTTCCAAAGTCTGAAAAATGCTAGCATCACCCCGTTCAGCCCAGAGTTTCCAGGTGTGTCCAGCTCAAGAGCTCCAGCTGAACCTAGTATTTCCTTGTCTCTTTCAAGTTATAAAGCAAGAAGGAGGGAAGGAAAAGAGGAAGAGAGAGGAGAAGAAAAAAAGCTGTGTGTCTGTCATCTCGTGTCCACCCTCTCAAACATTATCATCATTCTAATATAGTATGATATTTGGATCATTTTCCTGTTTCAAGGAATGGATCTCCAGTGAATGCCAGAGTCTGCTGTATATATAACCAGTGTTGCTTATGGAATACAAAGAGGTGATCATAAGTGATTAAAAATTGTTTCAATTTCTTCAGAAAAAGTTCTTGGGATGGGAGGGTCTGCCTTGGTATTGACGGGAGAAACAGGGATACCAGGCATGGCAGAAAGGAAGACAGGAATTATTCTAATTAGGGAAAATGGGGTAAAACCCGTCAGTTTAGAGGCAGCTCGTGAGGAAGTATGCATCAAGAGATGGGGACATACACATGAGACTGGTGTCGGCATTTAGCGGAGGTTAGTAGAGCCCATGTGCAGGAATCCGAATTTCATGCCTGAGGTAACAGAGAAATTCTCAAAGCAAATTTGACCAATTATCTGCAACCCCACTGCAGCAGCCATGGTTAGAAGCACACTTCCCTTCTGTTTTCCAGACCCCACCTCCATAAGAAGTTAATTTGTGTTGCACAACCCAGTCTTCTGGCTTAGACAGAAACATTTCAGTTTTTTTATAAATTACCAAAAATATTTATAGCTTGACTAAGCTAATCTAAAACACATAGCAGAAGCATGCCGTGCCTTACGCTCTCTGGGCTGCAGCTGTGGGAGCGGCCCCGCGCCTCTCAGCCAGGGGTGGCTCCATCAGTGGGGACACCGTTAGCAGCACTCTGCATTCCTCAGGAACACTGCATAGATTACATAGGACCTCTTTGCTCACTAGGTAACTAACTGGCATGGATGCAACCGTTTCCTGTCACATCTCCTTCAGAACCTAAACTTTCGAGGCATTGGAGACTTGAGTAAGACTCTGCGCTGGTCTCAGGGTGAGGTATTTTGTGTCCTGACCCAGCAAAATATTTTACAATCTGTTTCCTAATCCTGGAAAAGCTGAGTCTTACCCTTGTATAAGTCTAAAATGTGCCCTAAAAAATGAAAGCAATTAAATAAAACAATGGGGAAAAGATTTCCTTTGTTCTGCTGAGAAGATTCAACATTTGCCCCCGGGGCCACACCCAGCCGGCTATCAGGAGTCTCCACTGAGTAAAGGCGGCCAAGCGTGCCCCGAGCACCTGAACCAGACACCAGACATTCTGCACCTTCCCCCTCGTCCTTAAGTGGAAGCACTGATTATTCTTAGCTTCTGTAATATTAAGAGACACACCAAAAGTTCTCCAATCTCCATAAAACATAAAGTTGATCAGTTATAAGTATACCGGACAGACTCTTATTTTTCTGATTAAACTAGTAACGCTTCCTCTGGAAAAAACTGTTTTGTCCTATATTAGGGCACGGAAGGAGAAATAATTTTTTTTAATTTTTGCTCCAAAATGTACATGGAGAAAAGGAAAATGGAAGAAGGGACGGGAGGGGAGGCCACTAGGAAGTGGGAATGACCACCAGCCACTTTTGTGCTGAAAACGAAGCAGATATTGGTTTCAACAGTGCATTCGATACATATATGCCTCCTGATAAAAGCAAAGGGAACAAAATTGCAAAGGCCAACATTATCATTGCTGTAAAACGATATGCAAATTGTGGTCTTAAAATAACCCCGGGAGAGGCCTGGGCTTCACCCACACAAAGGCCACCTCTTTGCTAGGCTGCTCTTATTGTTTATACTAATCTCTGGTAAAGTGAGAGTGGAGTTTCTATGAAGCGCAGTGTTGTGATTCATGACAT